TTTCGCATTTTCAAGGAGGAATCGCGAACCGGTTCCACGGGAAACATACGACGCGGTCCAAAAAAAGATCCAAAAAAAGCAGAAACAATGCATCCATGGGAAATCGTGCAGAGGACATTGTCCCTGATCCTGTTGCTCGCAGTCCATGTAACTTCGGCGAAGCAACCACATATTATCTTCATTCTAGCAGATGATTTGGCAAGTTATTTTTTGAGATTTGCGATAAATTAAATCCAGGCTTTAAAATATTTCAGATAATAAATTAATAAAAAATAAATATAAATAAAATGAGAATTTAAGAGTTTATTTATTGACAAATTGAGAATTTTGTCAGGCGAGATAACTTCTGTTTACTACTCATTTATGTGCATCGGTAAGTATATTTAGGAAGACGTAGAAATAGATATGTTAAAAATGTTAAAGAATTAAATAAAAACTAAATAAAGAACAATAATGGGTTCGACATTATGCAAGTAAAGTATTACTACTATTTAACTAGTAGGAGTTCATCAGTGACGCATAAAGTTAGTCCGCAATATCTCTTTCTGTTAAACTCGTCCTGTCCTTGAAAGATACTTTCTATATATTCTGAAAAAGTCTCGTTGTAATGAAAATTTAATTAAAAATGGACAAATCAGAATTTTCGTGAATATATTGAATATATTGAAATTCTAGTTGAGATAATTAAAATTCTGATTAATATGATCAGATTTCTTAGTTTATTTTTAATCAAAACTTTTTCTCTCAGTACTTCTATAAATATATACGTTATATCATGTAAATACATGTACATACCCACATTTTTATTATGTATTATATTATAAGGACAGGTTTATTTAGGATTCAGCAAAGCTGACGTTATTTGTTGTCATTTTGGTATCAAAATAATGTTAGAAACGTCATTTCATCATAAAAGTGACGACAAATAACGTTAGCGTGTTTACTGAGGAGTAAATAAAATAATGGATATTGTCTCTTTTTCTTCACAAGATGTTGTAAATTAATGTAAATTTATCACAAAGAATAGACAAGTTACAAATATAAAAAAATTAAATTAAGATAAAACAGAATCGAAAAGAAATGTTATAGTTACATTTAAATTTAGCCTCATTTCATCAGGGATGGAACGACGTTGGCTTTCACGGTTCCGGTCAGATCCCAACACCGAATATCGATGCATTGGCATACTCTGGGTTGCTTCTCGACAGATATTACGTCACTCCAATCTGTACACCGTCCAGAAGCGCTCTAATGACGGGCAAATATCCCATTCACACTGGAATGCAGCATGGCGTAAGTGTTGTTTTCGCAACATCTTATCAACTTTCTCATATTTTATCAAGAGTTTATGCATGTAATATATTAAAAATAGGTAGAAGATTCGCGCGAGCACAAATGAGAACTATAAGTTCTGAAGTAAATTTACTTTATAATACGATCAAATTTATTCGCTTAAAGTCTAAATTTGTCTCGGTTTAAAAAAAAATATTACAAATTGCTTATTAAAATGGTGATAGTTCAGTTTCTTTTGACTTCTACACTCAATGAATAAATACGATTAAGAACTATCAATTAGTGGAAACGTTGTTGTTCTATTTGCAAAAGATTACAAGAGTATTGTGCACTTGTATTCTCTTTTGGCATGTTGACCCGGATAGTTAAATTGGAAATTATCATACTAAGATGTTGCTACTTCATTCGTTTTCACTACTTATACCTATACGCGCGTATCTACATACACAGCTAACAAAAGACCGCATTCAGTTCAATCCATCTCTATCACGATATTAATAACGTTGAATGAATAATGCATCTTTCATGCAATTTTCTAATTTATATTAAGGGAATTTCTAAGGGTTTTTCTAACGCTCTAAAAATCTCTTAAGAGACGTTTCAAATAAAACATTTCTTGATTCTTTTAGCAGGATAAATATTGCATATTTGCAAAGTTCATTTTAAAATTAAATTTGATAAAATAAATTCAAGATAAAGTCTCTCTCCTGTGCAGATTAGTATCAATGTACATTGATAGCTTCTTCAAGACATTTTTTAGCAAAATCAATAAAAACAATTTTTTTTCTTTTTTAATAACAAAACAAAATATCGTTTTAAAAAGGTTAATAAAATCAGCAAGATTTTTAATCGAGTTTGTTAAAAAGCGGTATATATTATAAAAAAGAATTTTTAGTTCAATATTCGGACTTGAATAAATTAGGTTCTCAAAGGTGCGGAGCCGAGAGGATTGCCACTTCGCGAGAAACTCTTGCCGGAATATTTGCGTGAGCTTGGATATAACACGCATATTGTCGGCAAATGGCATCTAGGATTTTACAAAAAGGAATATACTCCCACTTACAGGGGATTTGATACTCATATTGGCTTCTGGACAGGTCATCATGATTATTTCGATCACACAGCCGTTGAAAATGTGAGCGACTGTGTATTAAATAAAAGCATAGTTTTATCATTTAATGTAATAATGTGATAAAAATGCAGCCTTACTGGGGATTGGACATAAGACGGGGTATGCAACCGGCATGGGATCTGCACGGTCAATATTCTACGGATATTTTCACGAAAGAGGCGGTGAGATTAATTGATAACCACAACTCTAGTCGACCGATGTTCCTATACTTGGCCCACGCGGCCGTGCACTCCGGAAATCCTTATAATCCGCTTCCGGCGCCAGACGAAGAAGTGGCTAAGTTCAATAATATCTTTGATTACAATCGAAGACGTTTTGCAGGTAAAAATATTCAAAGGATAGAAATGAGAATTAATATAAAATAGACTGTGATTAAATAGAAAATATATATAAAAATATATATAAAATTTTTAGGAAATACAACAAGACTCAAAATTTGTACTAAAAAGAAACAGATTGATAATATTAAAATTTTGCTATAGGTATGCTAAGCAAACTAGATCAATCCGTGGGCCAAGTAGTTGACGCTCTGCGTAAAAGAGACATGTTGCGAGATAGTATAATCATCTTCTCGTCGGACAATGGTGGGCCTGCCGCTGGATTTAATTTGAATGCAGCGTCTAATTGGCCACTGAGAGGAGTAAAAAATACTCTTTGGGAAGGTAATTTTATTTGAAATTAGATGATTAAGCAAATTTTTTAACATAATTAAAACTTGATTAACGAACAAATTTTATTGAATTAGCAATCTTTAAAAGAAATTATTTTCAACTATATATATACTTTTTATAATTACATTTGTAATTAGTGTATTTATATTTTTAAGAACTCTCGAATTATTCAAGAAATTAGGACTTTATTGAATATCTTATGAAGATTTAATTTAAAAATTCACGTTTTAAAAACCATTTTTCATTTTTAATATCCTTAAATGAATAATCTTTTTAATTCTGCTATTGCAGGCGGTGTCAGAGGTACGGGTTTAATATGGTCACCCAGACTGGTGCGACCTGGTCGCGTAAGCAGGCAAATGTTACACATTACTGATTGGCTGCCGACGCTTATAACAGCCGCTGGTGGTGATTCATCGAACTTAACTGTCGATGGCATGGATTTGTGGAATGCGCTTAGTGAAGATACTGAATCACCGCGCGCGAACGTTCTTCATAATATTGATGATATTTACGGTGTGTCTGCTATAACAGTCGGCGACTGGAAGCTCATTCGGGGTAAAAGAAGGACTAAGATATTTTGTTTTATAATAATCTAAATTTGGGAATCGTCTCGTACAATATAGATTAGTCCAGCAATATTGCAGCAACAACGTTCCAACAATATTACAATAACATTACAAACTGAAGCAATATTGCTGAAAGCTTCTATGATGTATGAGAGGACAACAAACGTATCTCATATCATATTTCTTCTTCATTTTCTATATTGTAAAATATAAATCCCTAGTAATATTGCAGCAACGTTGTATTGCAGAAACGTTTTAATATATTTTTTCCTTATTGAGAATACATATAAATATGGAATAATGATAAATATGTATGTACAAATACACGGAAAGAACAATTTTACTAGAATACTTAAAAATTTAGCTAGATCAGAAAATAATTTTGCTCCCAAAATTATGTAGAAAATTCAAGCACGACGAGTAGTACAACAAAAAGTTTTGACATTTTATTAACTAGCTTGATCGTTCCACATAATTATGTATGTAAATAGTCCGGCAAAATTATTTTCAAATCTGTGTGTAGCTAAATTTTTGGATACTTCTGCAAAACTGTTCTTTCCCTGTATATATTGATTCAGTTCAACTCGGTTTTCTATAGGATCTACTTACAAAGGAGTATGGGACGGATGGTACGGTCCATCTGGTAGGGAATGGGTCTATGACGTGGACGGGGTAATTAGCAGTACAACAGCACATGCCATCGCCAGTGTTGGATTAGGCATTACTACAGATGTTGTTTTGATGTTGCGTGAAAACGCGTTAATCAAGTGTCCGCTACGGAATGACAGTTTGCCCATCTGCAAACCATTGGAGGAAGCATGCCTCTTCAACATCTATCAGGATCCTTGCGAAGACAATAATCTTGTCAAGCAGTGAGTGAATACGATATTATTTCGATATAATTTGTTAAGAAATTTTATTTTATTTTAATTTTTAAATGAACTTCGTAATCAACTTGTTCTTTTTTTCACATCAAAGGTTTCCTACAATCGTCAGGAAACTGCAGGACGAACTGAAGAAGTTCAACAGTAGCGCACTTTTGCCCGGAAATCTTCCGTGGGACAGTAAAGGCGATCCGAATTTATGGGATCATACTTGGAATAATTTCGGAGATTATATTAATGTTATGGTAAACGCTGCAACCTGATCAATTTTCTCAAATTGATCGAAAATCTCAAGAATTTCAAGACTTTTCCTATAAAATACAATTCTTATAAAACCAGAAAATGTGCTGCCCATGTTAGTCCATATTTATATGCGAAAAAATCTATACAACTGTAAAAATATTTAGCCTTTGGTTTTTTACCTTCATTTATATGCATTAAAGTTAAAAAAATGTATGTCATCAAGAGATAAAAATATCCGGCGACACTAAATTAAAGATGTTATTTTATTTATAAGGCGATGTATCGACCTTATGTTTTATTGCTCAATTTGTTAATGTGATTTTACAACAGTGATTTTGATATATTTAAAAAAGAATGCATGTGTATATAAAGAACTTTATTAGGCAAATAAATCGAAATAAAAAATTAAAATGGTGACTTAATTATTATCGAATGATTTGAGTTGATACTTCGAGTTATTAAGATAGGGTTTCTTGTTATTGTGTTATTTTCCTATAAATTTCTAATATAATTAGTATTAGATTTATCTAATTGATACATCTCCATCACTTGGGCGCATCTGAAACATGAAAGTACTTTATAATGTGCCAATTTTTATGCGTGCTAATATAATATCGCTTCAAAGATCAATTACGTACATATCATACAAGTTTTTCAGTATCATAAATCGCAAATATGTCACTTTGTTTAATTTGTTATTAATAATTATTGCTATCAAGGAATAAAAGCGAAAGAATGATTTCGATCTATGCTACTAAATGAACTTTAAGAATTTCTCCTCGTGATTGTTTTACCCGCAACGAGAGGGAACCCATTCGAGTCCACTCGAGCAGATTTCTTCTTCCTTGTCGCAAGTGCATTTGCACAATTTTTCATTCCAGACCATCTGGCGTTCTTTATCACACTTTCTTTTATTCATGCATTCGCACGCACAATTATCTTCTGAATATATCTGATGAATGTTGCAATGATTTTCTGTCACGCTACATTGACATCTAAAAAAATCATATTTTCTCTCTTTCTTCATCGATGAAAGACAAAATTAATATTAATAATAGACTTGTTTTATATAGAATTGCATTTTTAGTCTAAAACGCTTCCGCTTCTCTAGTTTTTTTAGTTGCTGGAAATTCTAATTACCAAAAATTTAATTACAGAAAAGAATATAAAGCTTTGATATACTTGAAATTTGTCTCTCTATAAATAAAGAATTAAAGTTTCAGTTCGGAAATTACGATTATCTTGAAAATAAACAATTGAAATATAAGATTGTACGCGTTATTTATGCGATTGTATTATTTTATTTTTTTATCAATCGTCAAATACTAAGCATCTAGAAGAAGAAACATAATAGCAGAATGGAAAACTATCTTACTTGCATTTGGTGTGTTCCTCGAGCAACACGTGATAACATTCGCTTGAGTCATAACCGTCCATTCTTACTGCGATCTTTCTAACATTTTTGCGAACTGGCATGCATGATTTGTTCCTCGGACAGAAACCGCTGCATCTTTTCACTGAGGCATAATTCGGATAAAAAGTGTAGCCCGGTTGCGGTATTAATTTTATCATAGCGTGCCTTGGCACGCACATTACCTCTTTCATCTGATTATTCAATTGCATACGTCTTCCTGCGCATCCTAAAAGTATAATTGAGAAATTCGCAAGAATTTATTTAAAAAATCAGCCATCTTTATATCCGATTATTTGAAAAATTAATAAGAAAATAAGTCACTCTTATATATTCAACTCTTTGAGTTATTACTAATAAGCAACATTATTAGCAGTTATTAGTAAAGTAAGCAAGAGGTCAATGATTATCAATCCGTTCAATAATTTCTATAATAGAGAATGATTTCCGAGAATCTTGTTAGATTTCTTTTCCTCTTAAAAGTAATAAAAATATCTATACATTATTATTAGTATATAAAAATTGTATATTAATTTTATTTATACTTTATATATATAATTTATATATTTTGTAAAGTAGATACAATAAAAAATAATTTCTTTCGTAAAAAGAATATAAAAGGTGTAAAATAAATTTTATCAATCTGTTTTTAGGAAAAATAATTTTATACGCAAAAGTAAGTGCATGTTTATATATTATGCAAGATATATAAAAAATAAGATCGATGAGGAAAACAATATTCTTTAGAACAAAAAATAGAATCCATTTCAATTATGCATTATCACATGTAAGATTGTAATAAATCGTAAAATTAAAAGATAACATGAGATTGAAGATAGAGGAGAAATCTTTTACATAAAATTTAATCAGTTGCAATATTGATTATGCAAAAATATATATGTAAATAAAATGAAATGTATTTTATATTTTTTGCTTACGGCAAATAAACTTTCTTTCATGTAATATTATTTAAGAGACATTTTTTAAAATATAATTTTTATTGGTATAAAGCCTGAAACTATCAATAAGATGCAATCACTGTTGATGGGAATAAACTTTAGAAGCTTCTATATAAAAAAATATTTTAGTATCGTTCAAAGAAATTTTACAAACTTTAGTACCTATCGCCACCCCTTCATGCGGACGTAATTCATCGTCGATGAATTGCATGCTTTCGGCATAAATCCATGTAGTCACTAAAACACACACTACTGTAAGAAACTTCATGATTAACATATAATATGCGCAAATAAACTGCTTCTAACACGGCGTATCATTAGATAATGAGCATTACAAAATTTCTTCTTCGTTTATTTATAACGGCCGGAAAATGGCGACGTGCGGTTTTAAATCTCGGTCACAAAATGTCTATTGACTTTGCAAGATATAGAGAAGGAAATTCCGCTATGCGGAACAAATATTTCCTGTCTGATTATTAGATATGCCTGACTAGATATATCCTGCTTGACTATTATAGATTTATTATTGATTACAGTAATCTAAAATACATATGCATATGATGAACTAATTTTATTCAATTTATGTTACTCATTATCAAATTTGATATTAATGTATAAGAGATTGCAAAGCATAAAGCTAAAAACGCAATTTTAATATCTCTGCTAATTAAAACGATATTACATATAATTTTCTTTTCTTCTTTTTTGTCTTTTGAATCTACTTTTTAAATTTATTTCTTTTTATTTTTTAATCTTTTTTATTCGTTTCTTATCAAAATTTGAATTTCATACAAAGGAATTTTTTATCTATCTTTGATCTCATGTTACCTTTTATTTTTACATTTGTATAAATAGTCAAATAAAAGATGATATGTTGTAAAATTTGATTAATTAAAAGGGAATCACAGAATGTTGCCACACTGCTTTGCAGTACGACCCAAATTTGTAAATAATATTTGATTTATTATGTAAACTATACATTGTTATATTCCTTGGGCCAATTGTTGATATACGTACAAAATAAAAAAAGGAAAGTATTGAAATGAAAATTAGAATGTACTATACTGTCAGCTAAAACGTTAAGATAGGTCCTTCTCGGTGATCCAGAATATCTGTAACAGAAATTATCGCGGCTGAAGGAAAAAGATTGAACGGTTTATATTATATTTGAATTGCGTAGACAAAATTAATTTAATGTTCTAGATTATACCAACGTGTTTTATTAATAGAGACGAAAAAGATTTTATATAATAGCATAGCGTGGCCGAGAAACTTTCAAACATTCCATATAGATATTAAAAAATAAAAATGTTCATGTAATTTGATTTGGTTTACCTTTCGCTATGCTCCACCATGGTAACGTAATGTACGTTAAAAAAGCGTTCAAAGGTACGGACTGCGCTCGCTTCGTCTCTTTCCAGAAATGGAAGGTTTGGGTAAAACCTCTCATCGTCCAAAGTGGATTATATGCCCCATCATCCAATTCTGAAAGGAAAGAAATATTATTAATTACAACCCAACTCAAAGGTTGTAACATATTTCATGTCCTGCAACAATAGGACGGTTGTTTGAGTACAGGATAGATATTCATTCGAGCAATGAAATAGACACAAGCTTAAAATCATAGGAGATTAAATGCATCCTTTGATTAGGTTGTTACGAGTCACAGTGGAAAAGATGAACATGTCAAATATGTGTATATGATGCAGATTATGCACAAGAATTACAGATGCGCAAGAGAGCAAATAGAGAGCGTTTTCCAGCAAGGACATAGTAGTATGACACAGTAAATCATTTCATTCTTGTTTAACTAGCAAACAACAAGGATGTAATAATTGTATTATACTGTATCCTTGCTAGAAAACGTCCAGAATAAGGAATATCAGGATACATCAATTTTCACTTTTACTACGAAAAATGTATAATGATAAACCTCGTTGAAAATAGTTTTTCAATGTATAGAAATCACATTATGCAAGTTACACACAGAGAGGTCCACATTCGCTGAAAATGAATCACACACAAGAGTTTGTCGTTTACTTTAAGAAGAATTAGCACCTAAATGTTTTATGAATTCTTGCAGAAAACGAGTATTGAAAAATAGAATTAATATTACGTTCACAAAATGAATTAACTATATCTACCTACTTTTGATGACCGTGCTTATTATCGGAGGTGAAATTCGTGATCAAAAATCATTACAAGCATTCGAAAATGATCGAAAAAGTCACTTCCCAAACAAACTCTTTGCAAACCACCACCAGCATTATCACCCTCCGTCGCATCTCGTGTAATCACAGTCGTAGCTGTTTCACCATCCCATAAACACAATCATTGAAACGAATGCTTTGGATTCAGGTAGCACACGTCTACATTACGCACAACGATTCAATACAACAGAAATAATGATCAGTGGATTGCTCGCTCGTTGAGGGCAAAGGGATAGAGAGGTATGTTAGGGTGAGGGCACAGGAAGGGTAGGAAAAATTTACCCTGTGAGCCGGGGCGGCGCGGGAGCTCGCACCAGTAGTAGATCGCGGTGCCGTCCGGCGTGACTCGATGAGGGGGTAAGGGGTTACCCGCGAAGCTGCCTGAAAGCGCCCTTCGACGTCGTCTTCGGGGTAACGTGGCGCTCTGTCGACGTGTCGACACGACCTCGCCGTTGATGCGCGTCACATGATGAGCGTTCGCGTTTTTGTCTCTGATTTCGTCGTTCTTGTTCTTGTTCTGTCCGTAGGCGTAGTCCTCGTGATCGGAACCGGCGCTACGCAGACGGCGACGGCTGTCAGACCGTCTTACCCTGAGTAGCTCGTCATCGCTGAGTCGCCGGTGTTCCTCGTCGTCGTTCTCTAAACTGTTATGATGATTGAACAGGTGTCCGGCGCTGTATGGACGTCGTTTCCGGTTATTGTCCTCCGTAGCGGTAGCCACGTCGTAACCCAACGGCAATTCCTCCTTGCCGTGCACCAATATCGCGCCCGAGTCTAACTTCTGTCGGACGTTGTCGTCCGTCAGGCACCGGCCGGCCGGCACTAAGATCTCGCTGCCCACCTCTATGTGTTGGTGCTGGTGGTTCTGCTGATGATTGTTCTGCTGATGAGTGTGGAAACCTGCCGCGAGAACCACGTCGTCATTTAGACGGCGATTGCACCCGTGTCGCGACTACAAACGATCATGCTCCCGGTCTCTTTTCGCGCTTTGTTCTCCGTGCATTTATCTAAAACCACTTATTCCTTTTTCGGTGCAACTTGAACATTCTATTCACGTAAGACTTTAGCTTTAGTGATCAATCAAGTGACAAAACAAAAATATTTAGAAAAGTCTCTTTGTTCATAGTAACATACCATATATTCTTATCAAAGCTTGTTTCAAAGACATGGAACACGATGATACACCTTATAATTCGGAAAGGAGCTAAACACAGAGTTTCTACTAATCACACAAGAAGCGAGAGCGTCGGCAAGAGCAGAGACAAGAGAGACTGATCGGACTGATCGTTTTCAGCGCGAACGAGCACACTCACCGTGTGTCTCGCGATAAATCGTCTCCTTGCGTTTCGGCGAGTTCTCATTCATTCCGGATCGTTCCCGGGCATTACGTTGTCGTTGCTTGTTGTGGACGGGATGTTGTTGTAGTTGTTGCTGAGCCAATGGCGATCTTCGTCGACGTAACGATCGGGGACTCCTGCGGTTTCCCGGTGAGCCCCGGCCGCCCCAGCTGCTATCCTGTACATCGGCTACAAAGGAAAGAGCCGGCATGGCACGTGCGAGTGATTAGAGATAAATTCCTTTTTTATTTGTTCGTTCATTAGTTTTTTGTCATTTTTCGCAACATATGCGTTTGAACCAGACGTTAGAGTGTAGTGATAGTAGTAGTAGTGGTGGTAGTGGTCGTGGTGATAGTTATTGGTGGTGGTTCATGGTGTCGGTGAAGATAGAACTGAATCTGTTCTTTTCTCTTGTATTTCTATATCTCTCTCGCTATTTCATCTACTCTTAACACTGTGCTAGTGCTACACTAAGTTTGCCTAAAAGATTACTAACTGCATGTGAACACCGATCGGTCCAAGTCAAGACATTCGTTGAACGAGATACCGTTTCAAATAAGAGATTTTCTTTCTATAGTGCATTAAATTGCGCCGTTTAAAGAAATAAATGTCGAGAACTACTGGAGCAATAACGCACAATAGAAAAATTTCTTTTAATGTATACATGCGGTCATTTTCTATCACGCTTTAATGCAGTTTTGATTCACACCTTTGAAAATATTTAGATCTATCAGCTTCGAGTCTATAGTGCCAGCATTGAGAAGAAGTGTGTTGCCGAGAGCAGGAGGCGTCTGCCTGATAACATCAAGACAATTGTGCATTACACAGATACAACACAAGAGCATGCACAGACCGAGAGTGGATGCGAACGAAATACATCGAGAAGAGAAAGATACTAAACGCTGTATGTGTCCATATCCATTTAATGCTATGTTATACTCATGGACGTACCCAGAATTTGGGGGGGGGGGAGGAGGTTTATCAATTCTGTTATTATATAAATAATTTTGGCCGAGGGTTATGTGTCCATTTGATCGAATGGAGTACATTAATATCTAGCATATATTCTGCTTTTTAGCTTGACGACCTTGCAAAAATTTTCTTTATATATTTATCATATACATTTTGTTAAAGCTTTAATTAACGAAAATAAAAATTATTATAGTCGTAACAAGAAGAAAAACATATTTTATATGACAACAAAAAATTTATACAAAGTTAAAAGTATAATTGTATTTTTTTTCATTAAAAATAAAAAAATAAAAAAATTTGGGGGTTTGAATTTTTCAAATTTTCACCTGGATACGCCTATGATTATACTATAAACAAATATCGTCTGAATTTTTTGAGCAGTCAGCTCGCAAAAATGTTATCCATATTTAATGCAGGATATGAATACCGGTCTAAGAGTGTAGAACTAAAAATCTAGTAAGAGTAGCAAAATCTGTTCTCGATTTCGTCTGTATTATTCATCGCTGATAATTACCGTCTCGAACATCACCGGCTTCGATCTCGCTGAGACCGTTCGCCATGGAGTCGAGACCCTCATTCTCCGATCGCGCCTTAGTAGCCACCGTATCTGGTTTCGTTCTCCAACCTCCGCGCACGAAGTTGTTCAAATTCGCGCTGGGATCGGACAGCCTTCGTTGATGGCGATACATGAAGAGTTCCTCTGCGTCGTCCCAATCGGCGTCCCACAAATCGGTCGCACAATAACCCGGCTCCGACGTTGGCGTCTCCGCACCGGAACCTTTCGGTTTTGTGACGGCCATCTCCGCGTGTCCCTTGCCTAAATAATTCCCATATATGTAAATCAAACTCTTATCGTAACGTATTGAACTCTTATATTTTTTGCGCCTTGCCGTATTGATAAATATAAACATTCTATTTTTCCATCTTTTGCACAAGCGATTGCGTCACGTTAAATAAAGGTGAAATGTATTCTCATTACATACCTACATCGATATTTTATGCTTAATTTTTAAATTATTTTAATATATTTTTTCACTTTCTATTTGTATTATCTGTATTAAAATAAATTATTATATTAAAAGTTGTAGGTAAATTATACACGGAAAAATAGTTTTGCTGAAGTATCTATCTAAAAATTTAGCTAGTAGTTATGTAAAAATCTCAAGCATAATG